ATTGTAAAAGATTGAACATTTTCATCATCTTAAAGAAGAACTTCATTCTATATCTTGTTTCTCCTTCTCTTTAACATGATTAACTTTGAATCCATCATGGGTTTAAGGTTTCTCATGAAGATTAGAGAGTAGACACTTTTTGAATCCATGGGTTAGGTAGATTTAAGGTGATTAAGTGTACATTTAAGTGTTTTTCCTTGCTATTAGAGTGTGTTTAATGTTATTCTAGACTTGATCACTCTAAAATTGAACCTTAGTCATTTCATGCTCACAAGGTGTATGTTGAAATGACTGAACTAACTTTAGTTAGCTCTAAGACTTCTTAGCCAATGACTATTTGTATCTAAGAAGTTTAGATAGTGATTAACCCTACTCATAATGATTGCTTGAATTAATTAAGCCAATGGCCATTTGTGTTTGATTAGGTTAAGCAAATGAGCATTTGTCTAGACCGAGAATTTGCTTAGTTAAATTGTTTAGACTTAAGGATGCATTTTGATTAACCTTAATTGCTTTAGATCAGTTGCCTTAATCCCATGGATTCTACCTTATCATCTGATCGAAAGTTATTCTTGCATTTATTTCTTTATTGGATTTGAGATTACCTTTGTTTATATTTTTAGGATCTTTGCTTGTTACGAATCATCCATCTTCTTGTTTGCTTAGATTAAGAAAGCTTGTGTATTCTTAGTGTTACAAGTCTCTAGTTCTCTGTGGGTCCGACAACCTTTTATACTATATTAATTTGATCATAGGACCCTTGAAAAGTCCTGCATCATGAGCCATGGTAGAAAAACGATCAACCACGACAAAGATAAAATCATGCCCGCGCTAAGTACGAGGAAGAGCCAAAACGAAATCCGTACTAACATCAGACCACAACTGAGTCGGAATAGGAAGAGGTAAGTACTGACCCGAGTTAGATGCATGCCCTTCAGATTGCTGACACACAACACAACGCTCGACAAATCAATAGATCCCTGCAGAGTGAAGGCCAGAAATAAGCATCCACGACCACCTGCAGTGTTCGATCCCGACCGACGTGTCCCTCCTCAAGCAATTCCTTAATGATCTTTAGTCGAATCTGCTATCCGAAATGCACAAACGAGTACCTCTGAACAAATAGTCATCTTGTAAGATGAACTCGGAGTGAACACCATCACGTAAGTAGACCAAATCGGACCAAAATATGGATCCGATGCATACAAATCTGGCAAGATAACAAAACCAGGCACCAAAACATGTAATGTTGCCACCAAGGAATGGCTTCGGCTTAAAGCATCTGCGACTTTATTGGACTTACCCGACATGTGTTTTATCACGAAAGTGAATTGCTGATGGAAAGCTATCCATGAGGCGTGACGTGAAGAAATCTTATCTTGGCTTCCCAAGTGCTTTAGGGCATCATGATCAGTGTAAAGGATGAATTCTTGATGGAAAATATAATGTCTCCAATGTTTAATAGCCTGGACAATAGCATAAAAATCCACGTCGTAGTTACTATAACGAGTGCGCGAACCCGCTATCTTCTCGCTAAAGAAAGCAATGGGGTGGTCTAACTGGCTGAGGACCGCGCCAATTCCAAACTTACACACATCATAATTCAGCTCGAAAACCTGAGTGAAGTCTGGTAACACCAATAACTGAGTAGAGACAAGTCGTTGCTTAAGGTTTTCAAAGGCTTTATTCGCTTACAAATTCCAAACAAACGAAGAGCCCTTCATACAATCCGTGAGAAGCGCTGCAATATTGCTAAAGTGGTGCACAAATCGCCTGTAGAATGAAACAAGGCCATGAAAACTTCATACGTCACTGATAGATCGAGGCGTAGGCCATGATTGAATAGCTCCCACCTTGCTTGGGTCGACTTGTAATCCTTTGTTGGAGATTATGTAGCCCAAAAAGAGCACGTGATCCACCCCAAAAACACACTTGTGAAGTGCAGCATAAAGCTTCTCACGACGTAGAACTTCGAGGACACTTCTTAAGTGTGATAGATGGCTTGGCAAGTCGTTGCTAAATATCAAGATATCGTCAAAGTAAACGACCACATACTTGCCGATGAAAGGGCGACACGCTTGATTCAGAACTTTCATAAATGTACTTGGTGCATCAGAGAGTCCAAAAGGCATGACTGTCCATTCAAAAGACCCTCACGCGTTTTGAAAGCGGTCTTCCATTCATCTCCTGGACGAATACGAATCTGGTGATAGCCACTATTTAAGTCCAACTTGGTAAACCTTGTTGCTTTACCGATCTGATCAAGTAGATCATCAAGGCGCGGAATAGGGAATCTATAACGAACTGTGATCTTGTTGATTGCTCGACTATCAACAAACATCCTCCATGATCAATCTTTTTTTTGGGAATGAGTAAAGCGGGTACAGAAGCAGGACTGAGACTTTCACGAACTTGGCTTTTCTGAAGGAGTTCTTCAACTTGACGTCGAAATTCGTCATGTTCCTGTGGAGTCATTCGATAATGAGGTCTGTTAGGAAGTACTGCATTAGGAACGATATCATTATGATGCTGGATGTCTCTTAATGGTGGTAAGTCACTTGGAAGCTCGTCAGGGAAGACATCACTGAAATCTTGTAGTAGTGGGGTGAACGCTCGAGATGCTTCGTGAGATGCCATAGGTGTTACTGGTGTAGCGACCAGAGCCCTAAGAACATCCACGTCCTGAAAGTTCTTTCCAAAGTCGCTTTTGGGAAAAGTTAAAAGTGATTTTGCTGATGAAGGGGCGTCTTTGTTTGCAGCATTACTCGTACGAGTACTTGGTTCAGGTTGTTCCTTGGACGAAACAAGAGTGATGGTGCAATTGTCAAAGACAAGAACTTGCTTCGAAACATTGATTTCGGTGCCATTGTTCAGCCAAGCAAGAAGATAAGGCGATGGGTGTGGTGTGACGGTGAGGCCAAGTTTCTGAGTTGCCTCATAAGACATCATATTAGTGCAGCTTTTGGAGTCTATAATGAGTTTGCAGACCCGCCCTTTGATAGTACAGGTTTAACAAAACAAGTTGGTGCGAAGCCATGATTCTTGTGATGCTTTAGGTAATAGACAGTTCATGCAGAGGACGAGACTAAGACCCGTATCACCTTGAATAATCTCAGGATTCTTGTCATCAGTAGCATCATAGTCATCATATCAGGGCTCAGACTCCTCTGTTTTCTTGAATAATCAACCTCGTTTTCTTGTTTGGGACAATTAGTCTTAATGTGGCCACGCTCTCCACATGAAAAAGAATGCAAGGCGTTGGTACGAGCTGGTCTTGAAGCAGCAATAGTGTAGTTATTGGGGCTGACTTGGTAGGATCTGAACGTTGTGTTGTACCTTCCGTACCAGGTGTGGTATTCTCGCCTGCAGCTGAAGATGGAAGACGGGAGCGTGACGAAGATGACCAAGACAATCGCTGCTGTAACTCCATAGAGAGTGAGCGTTGATAAGCCTCGGAAACTGTTGTTGGGTTGAACTGTGCCAACGCAAGCTGAAGTTGAGAATGTAATCCCCTAATGAATCGTGAGATCAATTTCTTCTCCGTTTCGCCTGCAGTCATGGGAGCTGTCATGTAGAAGAACTCGGTTGCATATTCCTCAATGGTACGTGAACCCTGTCTTAGGCTTTGCAATTTGTTGTATAGGGTACACTCGTAATTGTACGGTAAGAAGGTGCGACACATGTGTTTTGTCAAGCGATCCCATGAGTTGATGTGTGGTTTATTATCTTGTCGACGTGACTCCTTGAGCTTTTGCGACCACGCCATAGCCCTTCCCTTGAAGCGGGTTGCAACAAGAGGGACTCGCATGTCATCAGGAACTTGTCGGAACTCCAGAATTTCTTCTACCGTGTTAACCAATCAATGAAATCTTCTGGGTTTATTTTTCCAAGGAACTAAGGAATATCTGTACGAAAACTAGTCTCCCATCGAGGTTGATTGTTGGCTCGTTGGTCTTGTTCATCGTGCCGTTGTTGTTGTGCTTGATGATCACCGCGACGTTGATTTTGGTCGTATCTTTGGTCAGCAAAAAGGTTGTCGACGAGCTCATCATCATCTGATGCGTTGAGTTGAGCCTCTCGAGGACAAGGTCGTGGACCGTGTTGATCTCCTGGAGCTTCACGTTGAGCGCATTGATCCTGAAGAACGGTGGTAAGGGCATTTTGGACAGCTGTCTGTAACGCCCCCGTAAGATTTGTGGTTAACGTTTCGAACATAAGGCGTACTTCCTCCTGCTGTTCTTCTGTCATAGTCTTGCGTGGTGCCATGATCGATTTTTTGATTAAGAAATCAAACGCCTGAAATCTAATACCAACTGATAGAGTAACCGATAAAAATAGGACGATTGTTTAGTCTACAAATGCTCAAACGTACCTATAAACTTGAATCCGTTGAGTTCAACCTATGAACTAGTCATAATCAAGAGTTTAAAGCAAAAGCTCTGTTTTTATAAATCAATAATAATGTTATCTCTTACAAAGCCAAGAGATGACTATATATATAGCTAATGTAAAAAAACCCTAAGTCCTCAAGGATTAACATTTATCCATAAGTCTTATTCCTAATTAAAGAAAAAAGAAAACTAACATTTATCTTAACGTTAAAACGAAAAAGGAAAAGAAACCAAAACCAAAAAGGAAAGCAATATCCACGCTGCATCAAGGGGTTATATCTTAACTTTATGCCAAGGAATGGGTTGTGTGAACATCCCTAATTGTTGTCACATATAGGTGAGAAGTCAATTTTCTCAATTTTCTACCCACCTGGTTTCAGTACATCCAAAAGGATGCTTTAAAGAAATGCTCTCTTGCTCTCGAAACAATATGAAATAGTTCAAACACTTAAAACAGAAAAGGAACATTTTTTAAAGAATCTTTTGAAACAACAAAAGCAGGAAAAATGAAGAGAGAAACCTGTCTAGATTATTTTAAGCATATACTTTGGTTACATGTAGCTTTGACAAAAGCAACAAAATGTATCTATTTTCATCTCTAACGGCGATCTAAACAGGCATCTTCAGTACGAGCTGACCCTCCATAGCACTGCAACATATATTAAAACACATCATCAACACTGCCAAGCCCCCAAATGGTTACAAGAAATATAATCGTTTTGTGAAGAAGGTTCACAAAGTCTATTATTACCTTTTGACATAGTAGTAGCAGAAGTCAGCAAGGATGAACGTTTGAACTCCCTCGGCTAATAAAGACACCGGGAGCCAAAAGTAACCATCGCCGATCAGCCATAGATAACGTCCACGAGTCTCGAAGACCTACATTTTCAGACCATTGGTCTCTTCAACTTAATATTCATGAAAGCTCAATGGTTATGGAAGAGTCTTCGAACTTTACCTGGATAAGCCAATGAGCGCATGCTAAGAATCTAGCGATACCTAGCGCAAACACGTAATGAGCTGTGAAAGGCTCTATGAACTGAAATGATTGTTAAAAAAAATATGTTACAAGTTACAACTTGTCATTCGACATAATTGGGTTAGTCTTGGCCCAACCGGGTATTTTAGCTACTTCAAACGTCAGTGGCCAGCATAAGAGAGTAACTACGTACACGGTATAGACCAAGGACGAATACTCAACCACTAGAACATTGGCATACATAATACATTAATATCTCAAAAGAGGCTTACTTGAGCATTCTGCATTAATCGAAGCTGAGGCAGAACAGAGACAGATTCCGAGTAAACGCAAAACGCCCACATGACACGGTTGATGTAACTATATCTCGTACTCGGGTTGATAATAAATGCAAGGAAAGCAGATGGAACAAGCTGGCAGAGAAAAAAAAATCACGTTGCTTATAATCATCTTGAGCAAGACATAAACAAACAAATCACATTATGTATATCAAAACCATATTACCACATAGTAATGGTGGCAATTGTCCAAAGTCTTAATATAAGACGCTTTAAGCTTGAACCGAATCATATAAATGACCCACAAAGTCGAAACCAAAGTGGCGAAATCGAGAACTGTGTGGATATCACCTTCCATGTTTATACTGCAGATCAGCCTCACAGCAAGAAACACTGCTGTCACTTCTTGAGACTTTAAAGAAAGCCCTACAGATTTCACATTTTTAATAAGCCAAACCAAATCAAACCACAATAAATACATAAACGTTCACTTCTGTTATGAAAAAGAATAGAACCATGATTGTTTTACCGGAGCAAGTCTTTTGACGGGTAAGTTTATAGATGAGAATTATGATTCCGGCGGCATGGATGAGCTCGGAGGCAATGAAGAAGTGGCTGTGATTCTTGACTGTGAATCTAAGAAAGACGACGAGGATCAGAGAGAGGAGGACCCCTAAAGCTATCTTAACCTTTTTCGATTGCTGTCTCAGCCACCCGAATACAACGTTCACAGCGGAGACTCCACTTCTCTTCCCCATTTTTGGTTTGATCTGATACTCAAATCCTCCCGGTCTCTCTTTCTCTCTGTTTTGTGTATGTTACAGAGCTTTTATGCGACGTTTCTGAAAATAAATGATACGTTTTGTAGAGTGAGCGGAGACACGACGAGGGCATGCGGCTTGTGACGTGGCCATAACTTTTTATGATCTGACTAACGAATAAAATTCAGACACTTGGGACTGATGATTTTTTTCCTAACTCTAATATCTAGATTGTGATTTGGAGGGCCTTTAATTAGGATATGAATTTATGTCTTTGACTATTTATTTCCCGTCTTGTAAGATTTTTCTTCATAATCAGTATAGCTTAGGAAACCAAAAGCACAATCTTGGACCAGAAACACAGGTGTAATTATTATATTTTGTTCAAAGAGTTGGGTACACTGATCTAACTCAAGGCTTAATTAGTAAGGTTTTTATTGTCATAACTACTTTTATAGCATTAAATCTTTTCCGGTCATATATTACAGATGCTATTTAATGATTGTTAATTATTTATTAAATTTTATTAATGTTTAATTTCTCACCTTCTTAATAAATCTAGTCTATTGGTTTGATGATTTTTGTTTCATAAATTTATTGTTACTCAAAAAATTAGGTACCAATAATTTATTAATCTATTTTATTTTTAACACAGTTATATAAATATATTAAAATTAGCAGTACTAACATATAGAACATTTTAAATTATTAAAATCATTATAGAAAAATAAATGTCAATATACAAAATTTTCTCTAACACTTTCAAAATTTTTAAAATTGCCCAGTTTTTAAAATTAACTAACTCTATATCAATCCACACTCATGTAGCATCCTAGGTTTTAACCGTAATTAAAGAAAAAAATATTTGAAGTATTAATATTTTGAAAGTTCAAAAAAGTATTAATATTTTGACTTTGAAATATTTATGAATCTAATATTTTTTTTCAAAATTATAGGCAACTCGAAAAGAATTAGATCTATATATGAAAAACAAATTCAAATGGATAATTTGAAAAAACAAATTTGTGTAAATAGACTCTTTTGTTTTCTAAATATATTTATTTATTAATAATTTCTTCCTCTAAAGGGCGTCGGTACAAATCGCCGATTCGGTACACCGGAGAAACTAACATAGCTAGATTACAGAGAACAAGCAAAACAAACACTAAACAATCATATCTATGGAAAAAGAGAACAAAAAGCTTAGCTTCCAACTCCGATGTGAACACCGGTGGTTCACTCCTCCGATTATCCGCAACTCACAACCGCTGCGGTGTCCAAAGCCAGCTGGTTGTTCCGTCCACAGTATATCTACAGGAGAACCACCATCGGATGTGTCCCGCGGTTACAAATGCCAAAAACCTCCGAAAAGATCTGACACCCGAAACCCTAGCTGCCTCCTCTGCTGTTGGTCGTCGTTGTTCAAGGTCCGAGCTCCACTAGCATCTCCGTCCTCAGTCCTGTCGAAGCGGAAGTCCACGCCGGAGAAGACACGTACCCCGGAGAACCGCCATCCCTGAGATCTACCGGCCGGTTACGGACTACCACACAACAAATAGTACAAACCCACAAGACCCCGATGATTTATTTGCGAATCCGACGGCTTCCCTGTCGTCCTTTAAATTGAGAGAAACACCACCAGACCCGACGAATCACCAGAGCTCCGAAGCTTTCATAGAGTGTCCTCACTCCAGAGACCTTACCGAGCTGAGGAGAGACGCAACTCCAACACCAAAGAAAGATTTCACCGTCGATATACTCGAAGATCCGAGTCTCCACGCCTACGTCTCACCGGAAATCTCGCAACTTCTCCAGCTAAGCCTCAGATCTAACAACAAACCGATGAGAATCTCAACAAGCCAGAGTCGCAAGCATATCAAAATCAGGAGAACAAAGGCGTGAAGACCCAAAAACGAAGAAACATAGTGGAGGGAGACCGATGATGAAATGAAAAGCCGCTGGCCGCCTGGGATTTTGTAGATTAGGGTTTCCGCAAGAGAAAGGTCAGAGAGGAGAGAGAATTCTTGTATAAAGTTATTTCCAACTTTTGTTTCATAGACTCTTTTGAAAACCTACACTTTCTTACATGTAAGAGTACATTTTATTATCATTTTGATTTAAAACTATAGAAAAACTTAAATTAAAATTTTTTTTAGTGTTTTGAATTCATGCGTGTTTAGGTTTCTTATGTTTTAGAGTTTTTTTGGTCTAATGTTTCAGAGTTTTTGAAAGATAAACTAGATTTTGACCCGCGCTCCCGCGCAAATGTTTGATTTAACTTGTGTTCAACGTAAACTCATAAACAGTTGATTTTATAAGAGAATATCTTATATATTTTTATATTTTGTAATTTGTATATATGTAGTAGAATATATTATTTTATAATAGATGTTTGTTAATAATTGTTTTATTTATACATTATATTAATATTAAGAATTTTATAACTTGATGTAACTGATATTCTATATTATCAATAACATCATCAGCTTCAGAAATGTAATTAATTAATTTAAATTAATTTTAAATGTGATGAAAAAATCTGTAAATAAAAAAAATATAAATGGAAGTTCTTAGTTTATTGTAAATGTAATAGATAAATATGTAAATAAAAGAAAATATTAAAAAATACTACTATTTATGTTTTCAAATATATTTATTTTAATAGTACTATCTATGTTTCTAAAGAGCACCAAAAGATACTTCAGTGTTAATAATATTTATACAACCTATTGAATCACAAGAGAAAAAAAATTAGATCATAAAGTTATACAATTTTGTTTCAGTGATGTTCCCTTTTACGAATTTTTTATACATATGTATATATATCCACGAATTTTTATACGTTGAGTTCTTCACTTTTGTTTTTTTTTTTTTTTTTTGACGTCAGAAAACTATTATATTACTTAAAGATTAAGATGGTGTAGGTAAATATATTGGAATATAATAACCAAATCCTAGGAAAAAACAAGCGGTTCTAGCTAATAAATATGCTGTTCCATTTTGTCCCGACGAATATAATATATCCTAAAATCTTAGAATCTTCTCTTAAGATCTTAACATTTTCTTCAGATTTTAGTAAATTGCTGGTCATCCATTATCCTAACTTAACAAGAAACAAACCACCATTCGATGTAAAGATCGTTTATGGCCAAACTTCTAATCAAAGATTTATCTTCTTGTGCTACAAAATTCTCAAGCATTGCAACATCTTATTCTTTTATTTCTTCATTAATAAAATCACTACTTGTCATCTTGTAGTGTGCTACTCGGACATTTGGTCTAGCCGGCCTTGCAGGTGAGTCATATCCATGGATATTCCCATGCTTTAACATCATAGCCTGAATGGATCTTCTTTTGAATATCCAACAACAGTTGAGGTCTTTCTGCATATAAGTTAGTACATATGTATAACACTGTTAAACTCATGAATAATTAGAATCCAATTCTTCCCTCCTTTATTTATAAACATACTTTTCGCATTTTCCCATTGAATTCGTCTCTTTGGTGGATTCATCCACCAAAAGTGTACAATGACACTCACTTGATTTTTTGCAGATCTCCAAGGGGAGTAAGAAACTCGTCTTAATTGGCACTTCTTTGCCTCCTTTTAATAACTATTTCCATGTCCAGCCATTAAATTTATTTTCTAATATGTCCTTAAGAAAGAAAAAGAGCTTGCATTTTATTCCGCTGATATCTTCTAGGATCCGTAAGTATAAACTCATTCCATCCTAATTCTGGATCCCAAGAGCATCCTTAATTATTTGTCTAACATTCCCAGGGACTGTCTTACCGAAGAGTAAGGATTGTTTATCAAAGTTCATGCATACCTGAAGTGTTCCCATATTTCCTAACTACTTTTATAACTTCTTCTCATCCACAGGGCTCCGCCTTACAAACAAAAAGGATATCATCAGCAAAGAAAAAGAGGGATATCGAGGGGCTAGTGCGTGAAACACGCATCCCGTTATCTTCCATTGATTCTCTGCATGATTAAGGAGGCAACGAGCGCTTTCGTGCATAGAATAAATAAGAAAGAAGACAAAGGATATCCTTGACATAAACATATTTCAGGAATGATATTCCCTCTTGTTTGACCATTCATGATGACCTTATACTTGATCCATGTAGCCGAGAATGATCCACTCGACCCATGTAGCTGAGAATCAAATCTTTTGTACATTACTGTCCTGATGAAAGCGCATTCCATGTTGTCATTGCTTTTCTCATATCTGCCTTTATTCACATCCTCTTGGATTTGTTCTAAGCTGATGGAAAATCTCTTGTGCGATCATGATATTATCTGTTATATGTCTTGTAGCAACAAAAGCTAACTGGCTTTCTGAGATATGTTCTCGTAAAACTTTTTTCGATCTCGGACATAAGACCTTGAAGATTATCTTATAACTAGTATTACACAAACTGATATGCCTGAATTGAGTCATTTCATTTAGCTTGTTATTTTTTTCAGAATCAGACATATGTTTGTGACATTCAGCCCTTGAGCCATAGTGCCATCAAAGATAAATTGATTAATCATACATGTTAAGTCTTCTTTCACTATATTCCAAAACTTATGGTAAATAAGACTATTGTTCCATTTGGTTTTGGGGCTTTTTCAGGATGCATGGAAAAGAGGGCTTGCTTAACCTCCCATTCCATAACGAGAGCTGTCAAATTATGGATGCATGACAAAGAGGGGTATCTTAACCTCCCACTACAAGGAGAAATTAATATCTAGATTATGGAATATTATAGATATAGCTCCTTAATCTTATATTATAATCATCATTATCTCTAGTTTTTTTTCCTTTCTTAGTTTTGTCTTTTGTTAAATTTGAAAATGGGATGGAATGAAGGTTGATAAGATCTTGAATAAGTCCATGAATAGCCCAAAGGATATTATCTTACAAGTATTATTTTGTAAACTGTTAAATATTATTACCAATTTGTTTTATTTTTGACAGATATAACAATAAATGAATAGTAGCAGAAAG